GGGGGGGGAAGTCGAAAAGTTCAACTTGGACATGTGCGGAGCGCGCTCATCATTATCTCCTTTTCACTGCTTGCCGAAATGGCTGTTCGTGCCCATTTGTCTTCGACTTCTTCCGATGTTTTTGACTTACCTGTCAGGTCTAGATTTTGAACAGTCTGTGTTGCCCCGTGCACCGGTCCTTGGTAGGTTCTCAATTAAAGACTCGCCGATCAAACGTTGCCATGTGTAGCGTACCACCCGTAGGAGCCTGTCCTAGGGCGATTTTTTGCTAATGCGAGCGTATCGCTAACTTGCGATGTACGTAGCCTCCCTGCCAACATGGTCGTTCACACGATAGGCTTGTGGACATGTTCAGGCGGACTGCTCATCCGAGAAATAGCTTACGGTCACAGCATAGTGCAGACGCCCTTGGTTGTGTTTTCAACGTCTATGGGCTGCCTTAGGCGGAAGAATATTTCTTCTAAAGTCCAAATGAGGAAGCATCAGCGGGCTCGCGATATCTGTTGGCAGGCCACGTGGAGCTTTCTTTGCATCTGTCAGGTGACCTCTACTGATATTCGCCTATTCAGAGGGAGACCAAGGGAACTACGGTCTGTCCACAGACATATGTTCCAATTAAACTCCCTCACGGTTGATTTGAAAAGAAACTACCAGTTAGAATGGACATGGCCCAACAAGATGGCATCGATGAGAGTACGTTCAACCACCTTTCGACTGCCTTGCATCTCCTTAAAAGCGGAGCTCCGTTATTACCAGAACCCACAGTGTAACAGGACCTTAGCGGACGAATTTTGGGGGCGGGGCAAGGGCACCTCGGATACTAAGTCAGAGCATTTACCTTAACCGACGTTCTGTCCTCAGTCCGAACGCAGGCACCACTGCTGCTCTCTCAAAGGGCCCGCATATGCGAAGTATAAGCGGAAGTACAGTGCGCTTGCCATTGGAACAACGGACACCTCAGGAGTAGCAAGTCAGTTAGGGCTGAGTCGAGTTTTGCCCGCGTAGTTAAGAGTACCTTAAGCAGTAACGCAAAGAACTGTCTAACGGTGGGCTTTGG